CCTGCATGACTACCACACACCACACACTCCCTGCATGACTACCACACACCACACACTCTCTGCATGACTACCACACACTCCCTGCATGACTACCACACACCACACACTCCCAGCATGACTACCACACACCACACACTCCCTGCATGACTACCACACACACCACACTCCCTGCATGACTGCCACACACCACACACTCCCTGCATGACTACCACACACCACACACTCCCAGCATGACTACCACACACACCACACTCCCTGCATGACTACCACACACCACACACTCCCTGCATGACTACCACACACCACACACTCCCTGCATGACTACCACACACTCCCTGCATGACTACCACACACCACACACTCCCAGCATGACTACCACACACCACACACTCCCTGCATGACTACCACACACACCACACTCCCAGCATGACTACCACACACACCACACTCCCTGCATGACTACCACACACACCACACTCCCTGCATGACTACCACACACCACACACTCCCTGCATGACTACCACACACCACACACTCCCAGCATGACTACCACACACCACACACTCCCAGCATGACTACCACACACACCACACTCCCAGCATGACTACCACACACACCACACTCCCTGCATGACTACCACACACACCACACTCCCTGCATGACTACCACACACCACACACTCCCAGCATGACTACCACACACACCACACTCCCTGCATGACTACCACACACACCACACTCCCTGCATGACTACCACACACCACACACTCCCAGCATGACTACCACACACCACACACTCCCTGCATGACTACCACACACACCACACTCCCTGCATGACTACCACACACCACACACTCCCTGCATGACTACCACACACACCACACTCCCTGCATGACTACCACACACACCACACTCCCTGCATGACTACCACACACACCACACTCCCAGCATGACTACCACACACACCACACTCCCTGCATGACTACCACACACACCACACTCCCTGCATGACTACCACACACCACACACTCCCAGCATGACTACCACACACACCACACTCCCTGCATGACTACCACACACCACACACTCCCTGTATGACTACCACACACACCACACTCCCTGCATGACTACCACACACCACACACTCCCTGCATGACTACCACACACCACACACTCCCAGCATGACTACCACACACCACACACTCCCAGCATGACTACCACACACCACACACTCCCTGCATGACTACCACACACCACACACTCCCAGCATGACTACCACACACACCACACTCCCTGCATGACTACCACACACACCACACTCCTTGCATGACTACCACACACCACACACTCCCTGCATGACTACCACACACCACACACTCCTTGCATGACTACCACACACCACACACTCCCTGCATGACTACCACACACCACACACTCCCTGCATGACTACCACACACCACACACTCCCTGCATGACTACCACACACCACACACTCCCTGCATGATTACCACACACACCACACTCCCTGCATGACTACCACACACACCACACTCCCTGCATGACTACCACACACCACACACTCCCTGCATGATTACCACACACCACACACTCCCAGCATGACTACCACACACACCACACTCCCTGCATGACTACCACACACCACACACTCCCTGCATGACTACCACACACCACACACTCCCAGCATGACTACCACACACACCACACTCCCTGCATGACTACCACACACCACACACTCCCTGCATGATTACCACACACACCACACTCCCTGCATGACTACCACACACCACACACTCCCTGCATGACTACCACACACACCACACTCCCTGCATGACTACCACACACCACACACTCCCTGCATGACTACCACACACCACACACTCCCAGCATGACTACCACACACACCACACTCCCTGCATGACTACCACACACCACACACTCCCTGCATGACTACCACACACCACACACTCTCTGCATGACTACCACACACTCCCTGCATGACTACCACACACCACACACTCCCAGCATGACTACCACACACCACACACTCCCTGCATGACTACCACACACACCACACTCCCTGCATGACTACCACACACCACACACTCCCTGCATGACTACCACACACCACACACTCCCAGCATGACTACCACACACACCACACTCCCTGCATGACTACCACACACCACACACTCCCTGCATGACTACCACACACCACACACTCCCTGCATGACTACCACACACTCCCTGCATGACTACCACACACCACACACTCCCAGCATGACTACCACACACCACACACTCCCTGCATGACTACCACACACACCACACTCCCAGCATGACTACCACACACACCACACTCCCTGCATGACTACCACACACACCACACTCCCAGCATGACTACCACACACACCACACTCCCAGCATGACTACCACACACACCACACTCCCTGCATGACTACCACACACACCACACTCCCTGCATGACTACCACACACCACACACTCCCAGCATGACTACCACACACCACACACTCCCTGCATGACTACCACACACACCACACTCCCTGCATGACTACCACACACCACACACTCCCTGCATGACTACCACACACACCACACTCCCTGCATGACTACCACACACACCACACTCCCTGCATGACTACCACACACACCACACTCCCAGCATGACTACCACACACACCACACTCCCTGCATGACTACCACACACACCACACTCCCTGCATGACTACCACACACCACACACTCCCAGCATGACTACCACACACACCACACTCCCTGCATGACTACCACACACCACACACTCCCTGTATGACTACCACACACACCACACTCCCTGCATGACTACCACACACCACACACTCCCTGCATGACTACCACACACCACACACTCCCAGCATGACTACCACACACCACACACTCCCAGCATGACTACCACACACCACACACTCCCTGCATGACTACCACACACCACACACTCCCAGCATGACTACCACACACACCACACTCCCTGCATGACTACCACACACACCACACTCCCTGCATGACTACCACACACCACACACTCCCAGCATGACTACCACACACACCACACTCCCAGCATGACTACCACACACCACACACTCCCTGCATGACTACCACACACACCACACTCCCTGCATGACTACCACACACACCACACTCCCTGCATGACTACCACACACACACACTCCCTGCATGACTACCACACACACCACACTCCCTGCATGACTACCACACACACCACACTCCCTGCATGACTACCACACACACCACACCTGCCACATACACCACACTCCCTGCATGACTACCACACACACCTCCCTGCATGACACTCCCTGCATGACTACCACACACACCTCACACAGCATGACTACCACACACCACACACTCCCAGCATGACTACCACACACCACACACTCCCAGCATGACTACCACACACCGCACACTCCCAGCATGACTACCACACACCACACACTCCCAGCATGACTACCACACACCACACACTCCCAGCATGACTACCACACACTCCCTGCATGACTACCACACACCACACACTCCCAGCATGACTACCACACACCACACACTCCCTGCATGACTACCACACACTCCCTGCATGACTACCACACACCACACACTCCCTGCATGACTACCACACACACCACACTCCCTGCATGACTACCACACACACCACACTCCCTGCATGACTACCACACACACCACACACTCCCTGCATGACTGCCACATACACCACACTCCCTGCATGACTACCACACACACCTCACTCCCAGCATGACTACCACACACCACACACTCCCTGCATGACTACCACACACCACACACTCCCAGCATGACTACCACACACCGCACACTCCCAGCATGACTACCACACACCACACACTCCCAGCATGACTACCACACACCACACACTCCCAGCATGACTACCACACACTCCCTGCATGACTACCACACACCACACACTCCCAGCATGACTACCACACACCACACACTCCCTGCATGACTACCACACACTCCCTGCATGACTACCACACACCACACACTCCCTGCATGACTACCACACACACCACACTCCCTGCATGACTACCACACACACCACACTCCCTGCATGACTACCACACACACCACACACTCCCTGCATGACTACCACACACACCACACTCCCTGCATGACTACCACACACACCACACTCCCAGCATGACTACCACACACCACACACTCCCTGCATGACTACCACACACCACACACTCCCAGCATGACTACCACACACCGCACACTCCCAGCATGACTACCACACACTCCCTGCATGACTACCACACACACCACACTCCCAGCATGACTACCACACACCACACACTCCCAGCATGACTACCACACACCACACACTCCCAGCATGACTACCACACACCACACACTCCCTGCATGACTACCACACACCACACACTCCCTGCATGACTACCACACACCACACACTCCCAGCATGACTACCACACACACCACACACTCCCAGCATGACTACCACACACACCACACTCCCTGCATGACTACCACACACCACACACTCCCAGCATGACTACCACACACACCACACTCCCTGCATGACTACCACACACACCACACTCCCAGCATGACTGGTGCATACCATTCTATGATTTAAAACATTTGTTATCGTAGTTTTAACTAAAAGTTCTGCACACGTTTTGTGTATATGCATGAGGCAAGCACGTGCATTGCTCGAGTGTTCAAAACGTTTCTCTCAAGTGAGGAATTGTGAAATTACTCCTCGAGCATCAAGTTAAGTTTTTATTGGCTAGCGCAGGTTCTCCCCCGCTTGTGATTGGTGCATTCATGAATCTTGGGGCGGATGTGGGACGTTCAGAATGCCGTGGTGCAACACTCGGGGCTGACGTGGAGGCGTTGTTTGGCGGGAGTGGGAGACAAGTTAAGTACACGAATACCCTTCACGCTGATATGGGGAATATTTTGGAAATATTGTACCTGGAAATATACTGATGATGTCTGTTACAGGCTATAGATCATGGTCTCTGTATTCAGGTACACTATTCTAATTTAAATAAGTTTATTGAGGTATAGAATACACACAAAAGGATGAGGTGGGTCGGTAGCTCAAGCTATTTCTCACTCCGTTCAGTACAACATATATATATATATATATATATATATATATATATATATATATATATATATATATATATATATATATATATATATATATATATGACTGAGAATAGCTTGAGCTACCTCATCCCTTTGTGTGTATTAACATATTCACATATCACAAACAATAATCATATTACTCAACATTCTGAGTGATAAACGTATAAATTTCTTCCTTCACACATGCATCATGTTACCAGACGTACACACAAATACTTTTATAACTAGGTTATCTTGCGATGATTTTGGGGCTTAGCGTCCCCGCGGCCCGGTCCTCGACCAGGCCTCCTTTTTGTTACACACCCTCAGGAACTGCTAGGTAAACAGGCGCATCAGGGTGAAAGAAACTCTGCCCAATTGTTTCCGCCTCCGCCGGGGATCGAACCCAGAGCCTTAGGACTACGAATCCCGAGCATTGTTCACTCAGCCGTCAGGCCCCCAGGTACACATACAATTTACAATAGAGAGGCAATTCAACAGAAGGTTACAATCTTGGTGATATATATATATATATATATATATATATATATATATATATATATATATATATATATATATATATATATCAGATTCAGATTCAGATTCAGATTCAGATATATATATATATATATAAGGAAGCAAGTTTGTCCCTCCTCCATCGGCGTGACTGGGGCCAGCAGCAGTTGCTCATAACGTTTTATATCCTGTGCTCGATAACACACACCTGACTGGAACACAAATAACTATGTGTTTGATATGTATTACTCCTGAAAACAATGAAGTTTGCCCATGTACCCAAACACCTGCCTTTGTAAGGCTCTACAGCACCTGAGGCTTCGGGTAGTGAATGTTTCAGAATTTATTAGGCTTCTGCTATGTTACTACTAAAACTACTATTATTAAAGAGAATAACAAATTTATTAGGTTATTATTGAACAATAAGATCAAGCTGGCTGTTGTGTCTGGCATATTATGTCAGTTTCTGACTACATATTTTGTATATTGAAAGGAAGAACATGAGATAACATTTATAGAGGTTTCGTATTGTATGCATCATCATGCGATATATAATTATGTTTCACGGAAGACTGAATTAACTCACAACACAGAGTCCTGTGTTCCACAACGGCGATAGGACGGAGACTGTTGGGCATGTTCCTTATTTGCACCTGATGTACCTGTTCACGTAACAGCAAATAGGTACTCGGGATTTAGACAACTGTTGTGGGTTGCATACTGGACAAAGTCAAATTACTTTTAAACAACAATCTCAAAAATTGTTTATTAACAATGACAACCATGAACAATGTGAAAAAAATCGACAATTATGATATGCGTCAAGGCTCTTAAAAAATTAAATAAGATAAAAGTTTTATATATGAAAAAGTACATACATATACATACCCTGGAAACACAAACCGAAACTGTCTCTATTTTCCGCTTGTTACAACTTGTAATAAAGTTGTTACATCTTGGCTTAACGTGTTTATGACGTATTAGAACGGTGTTACAACTTGCTATATTGGTTGTTATGACTGGTTAGGAAGTGTTAAAACTTGTTCGAACGTTGTACCAACGTCGTAGTTTAGGTGTGTGTTTCGCGGGTATTGAGTTACAAGCAGAATGGTGGCTTTCTAGATAGAGCAAGTATATACTATGCCTAAAGCCACTAATACGCACAGCGTTTCGGGGGAGATGTGGTAAAAACTTAAAAACTAAGACTTTAGACTAATTGATATCTTACATATTGAATTAACAGCAGCAAATGCAACAGAACAGAATTTAATTATTTTGAATAAATAAACAGACGGACTACAATTTTTTTTAAGTTCATTCATGACAGATATCAGCAGTTATACAAGTTAATCATTAATGTTTGATAATAGCAAGACATAGGTTGACATTTAGGGGGTAAGGTAGGTTACATGGAGTTGATTCGGAAGTATTTAGCATTTCTCTTTAACTGGTTGAGAGAAATACAGTCTTTGACATGATTGGGAAGGTCATTCCGCATTCAAGGTCCCTTGATTTGCAGAGCATTTCTAGTTTGGTTAAGTCGCACTCTTGGAATATCATATACATATTTGTTTCTAGAGAGAGAGAAAGAGAATATTTAGACGAGCAAAGTGCTGGCTGGGGCAAGAGTTTGGTATTGTTCTAATAACTAAAAACGTAGATTTTTTCGGGTAGTAGAACCCCAAGCACATATTGATATAAGGATAGATGAGAGAGTAATGGAGCGTTCTTATCTGCAAGATTATAAGACACATTTAACACTATTATATAAATTCTACGAAGTCCATACAGTGTTACTTGATAAAAACAAAATCATGACCAAACGCTATCTTAGCTCTTTAATTCATTGATGTACTTGGTTACTTAATATCAGGGGGTGGGCCTAGCCTAGCTTACCCACTAGTGGTATTCTCAATTTAACATTGTTACCGTTCATAAACAATACCCAGTTGTAAAAGCATCCATTAGAGGAAACTGTCGACTATTGTTTCTGACCAAATTCGAATTTTACGAAATCAGCAAGTCGTACAGGTATGGCTGGGACCAGGAGGGGGGGGGGAGATGTGTGAGAATGGATCTGAGGTGGTGGTAGTGCAGAGCGCAGATCAGCGCTCTGCGAGGTACAATGATCAAAGCATTCACAGCGTGCATGTGTTGCACGCCTTCTACACTCGTACCGTCTGTCTGCTGTACCCTTCCTGAAGGAGTCACCTAGTGCTACCACCACCAAATGTCTGCTGTACCCTTCCTGAAGGAGCCACCCTAGTACTACCACCACCTGTCTGCTGTACCCTTCCTGAAGAAGCCACCTAGTACTACCACCACCACCTGTCTGCTGTACCCTTCCTGAAGGAGCCACCTAGTACTACCACCACCACCTGTCTGCTGTACCCTTAATGAAGAAGCCACCTAGTACTACCACCACCACCTGTCTGCTGTACCCTTCCTGAAGTTGCCGGGTAGCACTACCACCACCACCACCTGTCTGCCGTACCCGTACTGCACAGGTCTACGAGGCGCCGCCTGCCACCACCGCACCTGTCTGCTGTACCGGTCCTGCACAGGGACAGAGAGCAGCGTGAGAGCGGGCCAGCACATGGCCGCTCTCACAGACGCCGTGACGTCACAACTTCACTATCTTGGCAGTATATTGTCACTGACCGGACACAATGTTGTCACTGACCGGACACAATGTTGTCACTGACCGGACACAATATTGTCACTGACCGGACACACTATTGTCACTGACCGGACACAATGTTGTCACTGACCGGACACAATATTGTCACTGACCGGACACAATATTGTCACTGACCGGACACAATATTGTCACTGACCGGACACAATATTGTCACTGATCGGACACAATATTGTCACTGACCGGACACAATATTGTCACTGACCGGACACAATATTGTCACTGACCGGACACAATATTTGTCACTGACCGGACACAATATTGTCACTGACCGGACACAATATTGTCACTGACCGGACACAATATTGTCACTGACCGGACACAATATTGTCACTGACCGGACACAATATTGTCACTGACCGGACACAATATTGTCACTGACCGGACACAATATTGTCACTGACCGGACACAATGTTGTCACTGACCGGACACAATATTGTCACTGACCGGACACAATATTGTCACTGACCGGACACAATATTGTCACTGACCGGACACAATATTGTCACTGACCGGACACAATATTGTCACTGGCCGGACACAATATTGTCACTGACCGGACACAATATTGTCACTGACCGGACACAATAGTATCACTGACCGGACACAATATTGTCACTGACCGGACACAATATTGTCACTGACCGGACACAATAGTATCACTGACCGGACACAATATTGTCACTGACCGGACACAATATTGTCACTGACCGGACACAATAGTATCACTGACCGGACACAATATTGTCACTGATCGGACACAATATTGTCACTGACCGGACACAATAGTATCACTGACCGGATATCTTTAAGTAATGTCACGAAAGCATATATACTCTTCTAAGAGGGAGTTTATCATAACCTTAGGTTGCCTGAGAAGGTATTTATATAAATTACTTCGGCAATTTTTGTTTGTTATCAAAATTTAAGACATAAGACAAAGATAAAGTATTTCTAGCTATACCATCTATCATTATAATTCTGTGTTGGAAGAGCAACAAGAGGTCAACAGACTACTAGATGTAAATTTTGGATGACATATTTGGCCAAAATCGTAGCCTAATATACTAAGTTTGCCTATACTGTAGTATACTGGCTGGCCATAAGCTCGCATTGATCATAAGTACATTTCTTATTTGCTTTCCTCATGACCACTGTAACATTAACTAAAGTAGCCTGATGGCTATTTTACAGCGCTCGGGATTCGTAGTCCTAAAAGGTTTCTGGTTCGATCCCCGGTGGAGGCGGAAACAAATGGGCAGAGTTTCTTTCACCCTGATGTCCTGTTCACGTAGTAGTAAATAGGTACCTGGGAGTTAGACAGCTCTTACGGGCTGCTTCCTGGGGATGTATAACGAAAAGGAGGCCTGGTCGAGGACCGGGCCGCGGGGACACTAAGCCCCGAAATCATCTCAAGATAACCTATGTAACCTTGCACATAAATTAATTTGTTTAAGCAAGGAGCACGAGTTATATTTCAGGAACACATTGTATAAATGATATTAATATAATATAACTTAACCTTCCTAGGCCTAATACACGTTATCTGAGGCCTAATATAGTACATATATGTGCTATACCAGGCCTATGAATATTTAAGAATGAATTTTAGCTTTAATTTTTCCAGACTCTATAGAAAATTGTACAAAATGTGACTTATTTGGGCTCATTACTAAATATTAGTACGATCGCCCACAGTGCAAAAATCAGGAGGATGAGTTGAGGTAAACAGGTGCATTAGGCGGTACTAGGAGATGCGCCCAACCATTTTTGTCTCAACTGGGATTCGAACCTGGAATTCCCAATGGCGAGTCGAGATATTATAAGTGCAATAACTTTGCATGTAGTATTGTTTAGCTACGTAGTTCATTCTGTATCACTGTAATCTGTAGCCTATAAAGTATATATATATAGAGAGAGACATATATGCATGTGTGTTTGTCAGGCTAAGCTAACTAATCTTTGGGGGACCTTCGACAAGCCGTCGGCTTCCTGTCCTCGTCGAGACCACTAATGTTAGTGGCTCTCAGGTAAAACTCAGGTAATCCCTTAATAAGACTGTTTATGTATGCTGGATGAATCCTGTAACTCAGTGGTCTACGTCCTCGGTTCACACCCGAGGGACCCTGGTTTAAACCATGCTAATGGGCTCGTTTCCTTTCACCTGATGCCTCTGTTCACCTAGCAATAAATAGGTACCCGGGAGTTAGAGAGTTGTTGTGGGTTGCATCCAGCTGGGGAATTAAATTACATCAATGTTCATATTTTTCTTAGCTTAAATGAATATTAATTGTGGCTCATTTACTGTAGGTCCAGTGTATATATCTCGATATATTGGGTGTATTATAAATTACTTGAACTTTATCTTCAAAGCCTCACATAAGTTGGACATTGGACAGTATACTTAAGACATGTGCTTCGATAAAGTACTAGCCAAAAAAGATGACCTCAGCAGCGTACAGTACCTGTTCAGTACGTGGGAATTCGTTGATAATCACTGTTGCCGGTTTTCTTTTATAAACTCACTGTTTATTGCGCTAAACTATAACGTTGCGCGTGATTAAACCTTATATTTATATACCAAACGTGTTATATAAATATAAACAACGCAAAATACTATGTGATTAATAATATTTCTGAGTATTATAGACTGTTGATTGGAAGAGTTAGCGGCGTGTGGCAAGGGGAGGAGCTGAGGGACCAGCAGACAGGGGACACCAGCGGCCGCTCAGAGCGACACCAGCACCCGACGAGAGCGGTCGCGTCACGTCTCCCTCCACTGCTGCTCACTGAACCCGACCTTGTCATCCCATTGCTGAGTAAGTGACGCTATGATTTGGCTTTCTTAATTTATATTTGGGTTTAACGAATGTCTTTTTGAAATTTGATTGAAGATTTAGTCAGCAGACTCTGCCCTCTCCCATCTACTCTCACTCTGCCGTCCATCATCTGGTCCTCTCACTTCACACTCAACCTCCAGACTTATCACTACACTCGTCCTCCATGCTCCTCGTCCTTCATGCTCCTCATGCGCTCCATGCTCCTCTCGTCCTCCATGCTCCTCGTCCTTCATGCTCCTCATGCGCTCCATGCTCCTCTCGTCCTCCATGCTCCTCACGTCCTTCATGCTCCTCTTGCACTCCATGCGCCTCTCGTCCTTCATGCTCCTCTCGTCCATCACATATGCTCCTCTCGTCCATCACATATGCTCCTCACGTCCATCACATATGCTCCTCACGTCCATCACATATGCTCCTCTCGTCCATCACATGCGCCTCTCGTCCTTCATGCTCCTCTCGTCCATCACATGCGCCTCTCGTCCTTCATGCTCCTCTCGTCCATCACATATTCCTCGTCCATCACATGCCCCTCTTGTTCTCCATGGTCCTCTCGTCCATCACATATGCTCTCGTCCATCACATATGCTCTCGTCCATCACATATGCTCTCGTCCATCACATGCCCCTCTCGTTCTCCATGGTCCTCTCGTCCATCACATATGCTCTCGTCCATCACATATGCTCTCGTCCATCACATGCCCCTCTCGTTCTCCATGGTCCTCTCGTCCATCACATATGCTCTCGTCCATCACATGCTCCTCTCGTCCATCACATGATCCTCTCGTTCTCCATGCTCCTCTCGTCCATCACATGCTCCTCGTCCATTACATGCTCTTATTGTCCATCACATGCTCTTGTTGTCCATCACATGCTCTTGTTGTCCATCACATGCTCTTGTTGTCCATCACATGCTCCTGTCGTCCATCACATGCTCTTGTCGTCCATCACATGCTCTTGTCGTCCATCACATGCTCTTGTCGTCCATCACATGCTCTTGTCGTCCATCACATGCTCTTGTCGTCCAACACATGCTCTTGTCGTCCATCACATGCTCTTGTCGTCCATCACATGCTCTTGTCGTCCAACACATGCTCTTGTCGTCCATCACATGCTCTTGTCGTTCATCACATGCTCTTGTCGTTCATCACATGCTCCTGTCGTCCATCACATGCTCCTGACGTCCATCACATGCTCCTGTCGTCCATCACATGCTCCTGTCGTCCTCCATGCTCCTCTCATCCATCACATGCTCCTCTCGTCCTCCATGCTCTTCTCATCCTCCATGCTCCTCTCGTCCTCCATGCTCCTGTCGTCCATCACATGCTTCTCTCATCCATCACATGCTCCTCTCGTCCTCCATGCTCCTCTCATCCTCCATGTTCCACTCGCCCATCACATGCTCTTCTCGTCCTCCATGCTCCTCTCATCCATCACACTCTTCTCTTCCTCCATGCTCCTCTCGTCCTCCATGCTCCTCTCATCCATCACACACTCCTCTCGCCTGTCACACTCTTGCCCGTCAAACTCCTCTCACCCGTCACACACTCCTCTCACCCGTCACACACTCCTCTCACCCGTCACACACTCCTCTCACCCGTCACACACTCCTCTCGCCCGTCACACACTCCTCTCGCCCGTCACACACTCCTCTCGCCCGTCACACACTTTTCTCGCCCGCCACACACTCCTCTCGCCCGTCACACACTTTTCTCGCCCGCCACACACTCCTCTCGCCCGCCACACACTCCTCTCGCCCGCCACACACTCCTCTCGCCCGCCACACTCCTCTCGCCCGCCACACACTCCTCTCGCCCGCCACACACTCCTCTCGCCCGCCACACACTCCTCTCGCCCGCCACACACTCCTCTCGCCCGCCACACACTCCTCTCGCCCGCCACACACTCCTCTCGCCCGCCACACACTCCTCTCGCCCGCCACACACTCCTCTCGCCCGCCACACACTCCTCTCGCCCGCCACACACTCCTCTCGCCCGCCACACACTCCTCTCGCCCGCCACACACTCCTCTCGCCCGCCACACACTCCTCTCGCCCGCCACACACTCCTCTCGCCCGCCACACACTCCTCTCGCCCGCCACACACTCCTCTCGCCCGCCACACACTCCTCTCGCCCGCCACACACTCCTCTCGCCCGCCACACACTCCTCTCGCCCGCCACACACTCCTCTCGCCCGCCACACACTCCTCTCGCCCGCCACACACTCCTCTCGCCCGCCACACACTCCTCTCGCCCGCCACACACTCCTCTCGCCCGCCACACACTCCTCTCGCCCGCCACACACTCCTCTCGCCCGCCACACACTCCTCTCGCCCGCCACACACTCCTCTCGCCCGCCACACACTCCTCTCGCCCGCCACACACTCCTCTCGCCCGCCACACACTCCTCTCGCCCGCCACACACTCCTCTCGCCCGCCACACACTCCTCTCGCCCGCCACACACTCCTCTCGCCCGCCACACACTCCTCTCGCCCGCCACACACTCCTCTCGCCCGCCACACACTCCTCTCGCCCGCCACACTCCTCTCGCCCGCCACACACTCCTCTCGCCCGCCACACACTCCTCTCGCCCGCCACACACTCCTCTCGCCCGCCACACACTCCTCTCGCCCGCCACACACTCCTCTCGCCCGCCACACACTCCTCTCGCCCGCCACACACTCCTCTCGCCCGCCACACACTCCTCTCGCCCGCCACACACTCCTCTCGCCCGCCACACACTCCTCTCGCCCGCCACACACTCCTCTCGCCCGTCACTCCTTTCGCCCGTCACAATCTCCTCACCCGTCACACTCCTCTCGCCCGTCACACACACACACTCCTCTCGCCCGTCACACACACACACTCCTCTCGCCCGTCACACACACTCCCTCTCGCCCGTCACACACTCATCTCCCGTCACACACTCATCTCGCCCGTCACACACTCCTTTCCCTCTCGCCCGTCACTCACTCCTCTCCCTCTCGCCCGTCACACACTCCTCTCCCTCTCGCCCGTCACACACTCCTCTCCCTCTCGCCCGTCACACACTCCTCGCCCGTCACACACTCCTCGCCCGTCACACACTTATCTCTCCCGTCACACACTCATCTCTCCCGTCACACTCATCTCTCCCGTCACACTCATCTCTCCCGTCACACTCATCTCGCCCATCACACACCTCTCGCCCATCACACACTCCTCTCGCCCATCACACACTCCTCTCGCCCATCACACACTCCTCTCGCCCATCACACACTCCTCTCGCCCATCACACACTCCTCTCGCCCATCACACACTCCTCTCGCCCGTCACACTCTCCTCTCGCCCATCACGCACTCTTCTCGCCCATCACACTTTCCTCTCACCCGTCACACACACCTCTCACCCGTCACACACACACCCACCTCGCCCGTCACACACACACCCACCTCGCCCGTCACTCCTCTCGCCCGTCACACCCCTCGCCCGTCACTCCTCTCGCTCGTCACACTCCACCCGTCACACACTCCTCGCCGTCACACACTCCTCTCGCCGTCACACACTCCTCTCGCCGTCACACACTCCTCTCGCCCGTCACACACTCCTCTCGCCCGTCACACACTCCTCTCGCCCATCACACACACCTCTCGCCCGTCACACTCCTCTCGCCCGTCACACACTCCTCTCGCCCGTCACACACTCTCGCCCGTCACACACTCCTCTCGCCCGTCACACACTCCTCTCGCCCGTCACACACTCCTCTCGCCCGTCACACACTCCTCTCGCCCGTCACACACTCCTCTCGCCCGTCAACTCTCTCCTCTCGCCCGTCGCTCTCCTCTCGCCCGTCACTCTCTCCTCTCGCCCGTCACTCTCCTCTCGCCCCTCACACTCCTCTCGCCCGTCACACTCGCCCGTCACTTTCTCCTCTCGCCCGTCACTTTCTCCTCTCGCCCGTCACCTCCTCTCGCCTGTCACCTTCTCCTCTCGCCCGTCACTTTCTCCTCTCGCCCGTCACTTTCTCCTCCCGCCCGTCACACACACCTCTTGCCCGTCACACTCCTCTTGCCCGTCACACTCCTCTTGCCCGTCACACTCCTCTCGCCCGTCACACTCCTCTCGCCCGTCACACTCCTCTCGCCCGTCACACTCCTCTCGCCCGTCACTCTCTTGCCCGTCACTCGCTACTCTCACCCGTCAAACTCTTCGACTCGCTTGTCACTCTCCTCACGCCCCGTTCCTGGCTCCTCTGGTCCTTCTCACGCTCGTGAGGATGGTTGACTTACTGTGGGAGGTTAATGTGATATACTGGGAGTTTTGGCATGGGTTACTTTTAGGAGTTAGGTGCGTGACACTTTTTGGTGGGTGATTTACTCCTGGAATTTGTTAGGTGACTTACTTTGGTTGTTTTGCGAGTAAAATCCTTGTAAAGTTTGGCGGATGGCCTAATGGGAGGTTGGTGGGTGATAGTGTGGGAGTTTCTTAGATTTATGAGTTATTGGTTGAAGTTGGATGGATAGTTTATTGTGGGAGGTATGTGGGTCACTTTCAGTTGGATTTTTTTTTGTGACATTGCGTTATTAATGTGACGGTGCAGTGTGTGGGGGATTTGGGTGGATGACTTGTTTGACTGTGAGGTGTAAGAGTGATAATGTGGGAGGTTGATGGATGATATATTGTTGAGTGGGTGTAGATATATAACTTATTGTGGGAGGTTTGGGTGACTTTCATTGGGAAGCAGTTGACACTGGGAGATGGGTGAATGACGTATATTCCGTCATATGTTTGAGATTGGTGGATGATTTTGAAAGTGGACACATGAGGTTTGTGGGTTACTTAATCGTACATAGAACATTGCCAAATACAGTACTTCATTGGCATGCAATTTACATTATAGTGATTTTCGTTGGCAATTAATTTCCACTTGTCAACTAACTGTCATTTATTTATGTCAGTAATTGTTTGTAATTGATTCTTTCAACAAAGAAGTTACGGGTGT